GGCAAGGCTGGGATGGTCAATTTGGTAAAGTAAATCTGTTGGGCATCTTTCCTCGCCTTTAGACAATAATTCTGATGGCAAAAGAACCAAATGGGACAGGCAAAAAAAAAAAAAAAAAAAAAAAGGAAAAAAAAAAAGGCCTGAAGAAGTTTTTTACGTATAGTAAAGTACAGAGCTTATAAATCAAGACTAAAACCTCAGAAATGTATTGGCTGAAATTGTGTAGTAATAGTAATAGAAATAATAGCCAAACTGGAAATGTTTAAAATTCGTAAAATTGAAGTGGCTAATGGGATTTCTCAGATTAATGGCTGCATAGAGACAAACATGAAAATTTTGGCATTTGTATCCACTTTTGAAAGATTGTTTTACTTATCTGCAGCACTATTACATGAATCTGTCTCACTGATCGTGTTTTTATGAATGTAGCCACTTGAAAGCAAGATGCAATGATTTAATAAAATTCTTATAATTAATAAATAATTATTCCTTACTATCATTTGGAGTTTTTATAACCATACTTAAATTTGATCAAATATCTTGTTTGATTTGCAGCCCTGCAGTAAGCCCAAGGATCAGTGTCTGTGTCAGTTATGTGAGTGCAGCTGGAGCTTGTAGGCGTAGCATTTCTTTCTAATATGGATACTCTCTGACACGGGGTTTGAACCAGGGCCCTCTGGTCAAAAGATGATCCTATTACCACATGATATTTCCAAGATTCTTTAAGACCATCTGGTTTGGCAGAGACACACATAAGCATCAGTGCTCGACTTTCTAGTATTCAATCATACATGCCCATTTGCACATTGAGGGGGGTTACTGGTCATTTTAATCATGCTCACCCTCTAAACTTGAAGCGAAAAGAGACATTGCTTGTAGTGCAATGAAACTCAGTGTGACGAAAGCCTCTTTTATACTTAAATTACCACAGGATTTATCCACTAGACTGAATCTTTAAATAAAGGGTAAACCTTTGGGTATGTATTCAAGTAACTGTAGCCAAGTCAGTTTTTCAGAAGCATGGATGAATAAGACAAAAGACTACACAAATCGTAAGCAACATAGGAGCAAATAGATAAAGAAACATCTAGCAATTCATCCCGTAAAAATATTAAAAGATTATTCATCTGCAGGTAAATGTACACAAATATTTAGCAGCCCATAAGATTTTCTTGAAATATGTCAGCTTCATGGGTATCTTTCATATATTTACAGTGCTCAATATGTCTCAACCACACAGGTATATATTTTAGCAAAAATGACTTAAGGAGTCTCCTCTATAAAATCGAAAAGTCCTCCAGATATGAGAAGATTTTACAGAAGGATTTTATTAGGCAGTATTTCACCGATGTTGTTTGAGGACCTGTGTGTGCATACAAAATAAATACCTGAGACTTAAGCCGCAAGCAGTGTGTAAATTTTTACAGCCTCTAAGATCGTCTTTCTTTTGTCAAAATGAGTATTCAGTCAGATTTATTGGCGCGAATGCAAGCGCAAACCTTTCTTTACACTCTTGAGTCATAAAACTCAGTGTAAACACATGTAAAACGTATAATTTTTGCCTGAAATTTCCAAGGAAGCACTTATCACTTCAAGTGTGAATACAGATGACTGGGATCTGCTCACCTTGCCTTGCTCCACTAGAGAGAAAAACTTGTCCACTTCCTTGTTGAAAGCAGTGATCCTGATTTCACCCTGTTGACAAGCACGTTTCCATTTAACACCATTTCATTGCACATAGAAGGCAAAAATCAGCCATGTGTGACCATATTAAGATGCAACAGTCAGATTTAATAAGACCTCTCTACTCCTCTACTTACACTCTCATCCACTATTTCAAAGGAGAAGAGCTTGCCCTCTCCTTTGGAGTTACTCCACGTGCGAATGCTCGACTTGTTGGTGACTCTGGCTCTGATAGTCCACCTATGGAAAAAAAATAAAAATGAATCTGTATTAATCAGTGACTGATAAATCACTAATCATTCAAGACCTCCTAGAGCAATTTTGTTCTGTGACTATAAAACAAATAACACTATTGTATATTATAAAAAGACTGATTGCTAGATAATTTTGTCTTTGGCAGTGATTGTATTAAAGCCCATTCGACCATCCATCCAATTCTGAGTCATTGGGGGGCTGGAGCCTGTCATAGCTCACGTAGTGCGAGCGGCAGGGTACACCCTGGACAGGATGCCAGTCGTATGTCAAAAATATATCCTCTTAACACAAGATCAAAGTTATTTTAGATGACAAACCATAAAAAACTGACTTGTTGAGAACTCACTGGCCTTGGCACACTAACTACTTACCAAAGTATTGTCAATTGTTTGGTCAATATGCTCTCATCTGGCCCGATAATTGGTCACTAAATCACCGGTGCTACTTTCATAAGGCAAAAAAGCATCTATACCATACAGAGCTGATCCATTTAAGTTAAGCTACTGTAACTAGCCTGCATGATGTTCCACCAACTTTAATCTTTGATGCTTTAGGCTACGGCTACAGCTTCACTGGCTCCAGTGTCTGCTGGTAGAAGTAGGTTCACCTAGACCAAGCTCGATGTGAAACTTCCTCTTTTGTATGAATGGAAAAATTGCTCAGTCTGCTGGTATGATTTCACTTTAAAAAAAGAAGCACTCTTGTTTTAAGCACACAAACCTCCACCAAGGTAGCTCACTTTCTGGACAGTATTTACTTTTAAGGGAAGAGTGTTGTAAGTTGCTCCTAATGCACTCATTAGACTGTGAATGTTAGATAGAAAGCACTTGTATAAAAAGTGCTTGTATGAATGAATGAGACATTATAAGTGGAGAATTTTTGTCAAATAAAAATCCTTGGTTCATTAAAGCCCTGTACCTTGTAAATGCACAAATCCCTTCCACCGTGTTCCATCATCAGATATTCATTATGCAAATACAAACAGGACATTTAATATAAATACTTTGTTAAAAATAACAAATTACTGCAAATAAGTTGCCTTTAACAGCACAGCTGTGTGAAACTTAACTAAAGGAATAAGTCTAAAGATCAAACAGTAAATAATACTGCAGACTAGGGCTGTGCAATATGACCAAAATCTCATATCCCGATATAAAACCTTTATCGCCCGATAACGATATAAATCACAAAAGAATTAATATTTTCTGTAAATTCTGTGAATCTCGGGTAGGTGAAGTGTTTCCAGCTGGGCGTCGTGTACCTGGAGTCGAGTGTTTTAACCGATGCATGAAACTACACATTTTTAGACATAAGTTGTAACGGCCGCCGTTTTCTTTGTGAGTATTTATTACACGGCGTGCTGCGGGGAAAAGCCTGTTCTAACGTTTGAGTCTAAGGTTGATTTTTTTAGCACCTGACGGCTCTTTTTTTGCTTCTCATCCGTCAATACTCTGCATACTTTTTCACGTGATTCAGTTTATTTTGAAAAGTCTCAACAGGATCTTGAGCTTTATTGTGAAAGGTTTATGTGGAAAATAAACAAGCGGACATGCGATGGTTTTACCATCGTTGTTGCTAAGACAACCCATAAAAACAGGCGCTTCTCCGTCCGTAGTGTGTTTATATTAAATATAAGAGAAAGAGAGAACTTTAAGAATATAGCCACTACAGTGACCATCAAAACGATGAAAAAAATATTGCCGTAAACAGTTTATTTTGCGACACCACGAAACAAATGATAGCGTAAAATGAAACGACAGACGTTTTTTATATCGTCATCCGATATATATCGTTATATCGAACAGCCCTACGGCAGACACTTTAAAAAGCCTCCTTTTTTGTTAATGAGCATTCCAGCTCGGCACACATCAGTCACCAATGTGTAACACAACTGCACAAAAAGAACAATTTCCTAGGAAATTGAATGAGTGTCTCACAGTCTTTTTAAAGTTCAGTGAAAGGGAAAAATAAAGCATATCACAACTTTCTTTTCAAAGAGTGAACTGGTTGTTGTACATCTGCCAAGTCCTGGATGTGCTTCTTGTTCTGTTTTTAACAACAGCCAGCCATGCTCTGCGCTTTATGAAGCAGGATTCTTTTTGACTGCATTGATAATTTTGCAGTGGAGGATATTCTTACTATAACTTTGCCTGCAATTAAATCCCCTATCATAAGAGCAGCTGCTGGCCTTGAGTGAACCCTATTTCCTGCTCAGTATGGATAAGACTGCTACACCAAGGTTTATGACAGTCAAAAGCCAATTATAGTCTGCTCTAGATGCTTTTACTTAACAATACCAGAATGGGATGGGGAAAGCCATGCGAACAGCCATAAAAGACCTTGCACACATAGAAAGCATCACTATATAATCAACTGCATGTAACACTGTGTCACACAACGACAACAAACCTCCACTTTTAATCTCACCCAAATGTTCATAGAAGGACTACAGCTGCTGAAGTCATCTGTTTTACTCACTCTAGGTACTCCCCAACTTCAAAGTAGGAACAGTCATCAGTTTATTACAACACCTAGAGGCACAGTTATCTTTACAGCCTACAATTTCAAACAGTGCTACGTTATCAGTGCCCAAACACAGAGAGAGTTGACAGGGTGCCTTCACTACAACTAGAGCTTGTTATTCTGTGCTCTTGTCTTTTTGTAGCTAACTTTAAGGTCAGAGACAGAGACTTATGCCTAATGAAACGATAAGAAACATGAGGGTGGGGGGGAGGGTGCAGTAAAAGCGAACCCTGGAGGTGAAACTGTAAGAGGGAAGGAAAAGGGAAAAAACGTGGTTAGCCAAATCCCCACCAGGCCAAATAACAAAATCAAAACCTCAGCAGCAGACCATAAAGACCCAGCAGTACCTGCTGCAAAAGTGTCCGTTTCCAAGGCAATATCGGTCATTTCATTTCATTTCCATGCAAATGGGTTGTATAACATATGCACACTCAAGTTCACACAGCCACACACATTGTGAGCGAAAAAAAATGAATGCTCATACATGCATGCGTCAACACATGCCCCAAAGTGCTACCAAGAAATGGTAGCAAGCGGGGAAGCAGAGTCACAGCGTGAGAGAAAGTAGTTTAGCTGATGAGCAGAAAAGCAACAAAATCAAAGTGAAATCATAAACATATACAGCTTAAAGTTTGTTTGGATATTAGGAAGAAATATGGGCAAGTCAGATTCAACTTCACAACTTTACAATGATCTGCTACAGAACTTAACTCACACACAGTACATGCATGTGAAGGGTGTCTAATGTAAGGTACAAGTGGCCACTAAAAGGTCCAATCCTGCCCACAGCAAAATGTCCAAATTGTTCATTTTTTTTTACCCAGATGTTTGATTTATCTGTTTTATATTCTTCTCAGATACAACAACACTATCTACCGCCCACCATAATACACCAAAGTAAGGTGGTTAAGCTACAGAGACATGTCAGCACGTTCCAACAGTTCTGTTTCTTTGTAATGACATACGACTGAATGTGGAAATAAATACAAAACTGGACAGTTAAAATTGAATGCCTCACAATCTAAGGGTTCATCTTCACACTAAAATAATTAGAAAGCATTTGGTTGTCTTTATTTTTTTATAGTCACTGTCTCCTAGGTCTGACCGACTTAAAATACATTTGAGCTGCATGCTAAAACAAGTCTTAGACCCCTGATGTATATAAAAGTGAGCAAATTTAGACCGAGATCACTTGCACTTACTTGCTTTGGTAGGGGTTGAGGCTTGCAATAGGATTCACTTTTGCTGAAGAACCTGGAGAAGCGCTGTTGGCCTTCATGGGCGAAGCTTTCATGGGTGAAACCTTCATAGTTAAGCCCTTACTGGGTGATGCTTTAATAGCTGAGGCCTTCATGGGAGAAGCTTTCATGGGTGTTTTTCCCGTAAAACTTCCTCCTCTGCCTCTGGGAGCTGAAACACAAAGAAGATACTTAAAAGAGTGTTGCACATTAACAACATGGTAATTTAATATTGCTGAAAGAGATCATCAACAATCTTGGAAATGGATTCACCACAAAAGCCATTTTCAAACTGAAATGGCAAACACTGGCTGGTTCAAACTTCTGAAATGAGAAGACTTGCTGATTTTCTCAGTGTTATTTTACTGTTGATTTACAGGTTTAAAACTTGGACTATTAACGTATGTAGCACGATCCCACATCCCACATCCGGTGAGACTACCAAACATTAGTTTCCATTCTATTTAATACCTGCATGAGCTATGTCTCTTATGTTGCAAAAGTAGCTTGTTAATAGTTTTTCATTAACTCTATCAAAGCTCCAACCACTGTGAGGTATTTATTAGCCCAACTACAGTGGTAGAGCACCTGCCAGTTTGCTATTAGGCAATACAATCTGAAACACGCTGCCAAAAATTTCAGCTAGGATTAAACATTAGTGGTAGTATTATCATCTGATCTGTGAGCAGCTGCCAAAATAATAAAACGCCTGAAAAAGTTAAATTCTCCCAACAGAGATGCATGCTCAGAGTTACTTAATTCCCTGTTAACATTGGTTTGTGCCAATTAATAAAAATGTTTTTCTTCTTCGGGTAAGGCTGCCAATCAATTATTAATTTCATAATTACTATATCTGTACGTGCCTTTCAGTCATAGGAGAAAGAATAATTTGAATTAGTTATCAGACTATCGGTCTCATGGCCAAGAAAGCAAACATACTTGCCTTAATTATGTTCATGCGCCATGATTATTTTTTAACTTAGACTGAGTCAAAGACAGAGCAGTTATTCTAGATCAGTAGGAGAGAATATGGGAGGTTAATAATCAATGATTGCATATTTCTCGTCCTGTGTCTACTTCAACCACTAAATGCTAAAATTGTCAGAAATATCAATATGAACGCTAATGTGTAATTACTCAAGCTGAGAGTGATTCAATAGCATAATATGTAATTTATGTAATTTAATTTTGCAGCGTTGATCTTATTTCTGTCTTTGTTACGTGCATACTCAACTCAGGACTAATTTAACTACCTCACATAGAAATAAATCAACACAACTGTATTTTTTTAAGTTAAGACGAAGTTTTCTTTGTATAAAATTTAAAAAAAACAAAAAAAAACTCCACAAGTTTTGTGTTCTTCTTTGCAAGATACAACAGTTTGGACCAACCCACAGACTCATAAGGTGCTATCTCACCTCCCACAATGAAGTAGCATCAGCCCCATCAGTATGATTCAACCCAAACACTTATCTGCTGACACAATATTTTTTATGCAATTGCTTCTTTTGGCAGGAATAACATGCCATATTGAGCAGCAGTATTTTTTGGAAAGGAGGGTGTGCGGGGATTTTCAGGGATAAAGCGAATCAGGTCCACCGAGACCACTCCCTCTGATTTAAGCTCCGGTTGTAAAGCACAACAAATATGCACCTCGATGATACCCTCCTTTCTGTGTGTGTGTGCACCTCATGATCAAATTCCTTGGGGAAATTCACAGATTGAACCGCTATTTTCAGCCGAGGGGTAATTAACATCAATATTCATACACACGCTATCTGGATGGAGAGTTAGGAAGAGAGAACTGGTGGCGAAAGAGAAGATGAGGAGATGATAGGTGGTGGGAATCGGGAATGGACTGAAAAACAGCAAAGAGGGGGCAGAGCTTTATGAAGGATGCTCGTTTTCTGTGGCTTAGATCAATGCAGGCTTCTAATATGTATGCCAATACCATATTCGACAGCTCCTGTTGTTAAAGAGCGGACTGTGATGAGTATACACTAAGAGGGGAATATACAGTATGGATGAAAAGGAAATAATAATAACAAAAAAAGAGAACGTGAATGAGAAAGAATGAAAACGTGTGTGTGTGTGTGTGTGTGTGTGTGTGTGTGTGTGTGTGTGTGTGTGTGTGTGTGTGTGTGTGTGTTCATCAGAGTGAGGGCAAAAGGGAAAGAGTTGTGTGGGGGGAAAAGAAACCTACAGAGAATGGTTAGTGATGAATTATGGATATTATTTTAACCGCACTTTAGTGAGTGCAGATATCTTTTTGGAATTTAAATATCATCTACGAAGCAGTTTGAGAAGACTCTATTTCAAGAGATAGCTGCTGATGAATATTTAAATGGGAACACAGAACTACCTGTGACAACTGTGTCGTGGCCTCTGACTTCACACCTACTGCTGTTTTTTTGGGTTTTTTTCTGTTCTGTTCTGTTTAAGTGAGAGAGGACTGCGAACCTAAGAGGTGCTCTCAAACAACTAGACGCTCAAAACACTTAAAATAAATGCCACAAAATCTTCAACAGGAAAAGTCTTTCTAACAGCATCCTCCTACTCCCAAGGTGCCAAAGGTCAGGAGTCTCTACAGAGCACAATGCCTACAGCAGCTTTCCATTCAGCCAATTACTGTACACTTCCTCCAGTTTCTCACTCCTCTGTCCTCCCTGTCCTCTGGTCTGTGATTTTAGAACTGATCTTAGGTTGCATCATCAAATATGTTCCAGTTCTTAAATGGATAACATGTATGTTAAGTGTTTGTATTTGGGCTCATTCAGGAGAAATGTATGTCGTATAAAGCTGCACACTGAATTATTGTTTGGCCCAACCATTAATAAACTTCACTGCGACATCCTTTTCTATTGTTTTAGTAATGGGTTTTGTTTCATTATGCACTAATGCAGTGGTGTCAAACGTAAGGCCTGGAGGCCAGAATTGTTCCACCAAAGACTTCATTCTGGCCCACATGAAAGGTGTCCTCTATCAACTAAAGAAATTTCCGTATTTTTAGTGGGTCCACAGTAAAGACATTTTCTGAGAATTAAGAAAACCAGTCTAGGCATGGAGCTACTAGAACTTTTTCTGTAATTTTAACAATTTATCATGTCGTTTCACTGGTTAAGTGTTCAAAGTGTAGTGTATGTGGCTCATAATGTAAAGAGAGTCTGACATCCCTGCTCTAATGTATGAATATATCTACATATATATCTACATAAAGCACAGGAGCAGCAGTCGTAGAGTTTCAGTTAATACCTCTAATATTTTTGTTTTAATATTTCTTAACCTTACGTCTACATGGGTGATAGCCATCTCATGAAAATGGTGTAAGAGTTAAAGAGGATGTGCTGTTTGGTAAATACATATCCTGCATCTTTGTGTCTCTTCCCTGCATCTTAGGCTTCTCTGCCAATAGGATCCCTGCTGCACGGAGCTACAGTACAAGAAAGAGACATAATTGAAAGAAGTAATGAGCCAAGTTAGCCAAATGGAGGCACCCAGGGAGTCAGTATGTTGCTCAAAGACTGGGACGTCTGCACAGAGGTTTGAATCAAAACCCTCAAATACAACAACAGCCCCATGAGCCATTACATAACCCAAAGCTCAATGGAAATGCTTGATTTGTGGCATTTAGCAGTCTTGGAAACGCTCAAAAATGCATCGACTTAGTAAGAATGCAATTTAGAAAAATAATGAAACAATCAATCACTAAGTCGCATTCAAAAGGAGAAAAGGCTTGAGAATTTATGCACAAGACCCCTTCATCAACAGAACAATTAAATAGAGGAGCAGTTTTCATCTATCAGGTTGAATCTCTGAAGCAACACAGATCAAAGGATGTAATGAGGAAAGGAGTCTGATGAACTAGTTAATGCGGAGCCTCGTCTTTGCTGAGTCAAATTAGTTGACTTCTCTCTCAACCCCCCCGCGCCGATTCTCCGTGTGCACCGCAACAACAGGATTCAGTCCACAACACAATATTCATGAAGCCATGAACTGGAGGAGCCACCGGCCCACACAAGCTCCCTCAGTCACAACACGAGCACACAGACACACACCTACACATGCACAAACACGCGCAATATACTAAGCACTCATTATCCACCCACATGCCTACATCCTCCACCGAGAAGGACTATCGGGTATGTTTCTGCCACATAACAAAATCAATGTCAATGCTAAGCGTAGTTGGTGGTGGTATAAAACAACTGAGTGAAACAAAGGCTAAGCTAATAAAAGCAGATCCAATAAAACGCAGACTACTTTAGGCATGATACATGGCAACAGCTACTGTGGCAGGAAAGTGAGTATCATTTGGGGCTCCTAAAATGTTACAAAACTCTGGTTGGTGGTAAAATAGAGGAAGAAGTGAGTTATGGACTCCCCCAGTAGCCAGTGGGCAACAAGATAGTTTGCCGCTCTGATGGCTGAGCTGTAAATATGATTTAAGTACCCAACGTGTTATGAAAAAAGGTACTTAGACTAAAGCGACTTCAGTCTACCATTCATTTAGCATTTCCTGTGGCTACCACAGTGTGCCTTATGATCCTGCTTTATCTAGTTCTTAACCCACCCCCAGACTACAGCCTTTGAACACTGAACTGCTATGAATATCAAAGGGATGGACATCAGGATGTACTGTTTGGTTAGCAATGTCTTTCCAAGTCTCTGTTCTCCACCAAATTATAGCTGCAGTTTGGGGTGAAAACAGTGAGAAGACTGCAAATCAACTGTCAGCAGCATTTGCTTAAAGGGTGCTTGGCTCCCTCTGTTGGCAAGATTAGGTTTTATTAAGAAATAATATTCTAATTGTCCCTGAAATAACTGGACCAAATATTGTATGTTTAAGCTAAAACAAAACCCTCCTTTGTTCTCTGTTAATATTATACACACATGATTAGGTGCTCTATACCACTACAATATATGAATTGTAGATGACAAAAATGATTTGTAACTCATTAAAGACCTTGTGGTAAGTACGGCTAAATGAGGACTTGTTTTAAATCAGTGAGGTAATTAAATACTGTAATCTGCAAAGCAAGTAATGATATCCATAATCCAAGAGCAGGAAAACCTCAGGCCTTGGCACACTTTGACACCACCTACATATATAATGTTAGAGACCAAGCATAATCCCTCTTATGGCAGTGGCCTCCTCCAGCCAGACAATGCACCCCACTGCTTGGTACTGACACCAGGAACACTGAAAAGGGCCTAAGGCATTAACCAATCATGTTGAGCAATTGCTGGATTCACCAGAACAAGCCCAAACCACAAAGGCCCCAAACCACAACCCAGTGGTGTCCTGCCAAACACCACATGATGCCACCAGAGCTTTTTACACAGCATGACGGGATCATACACTATATATAGCAGGCCGTCTTAATGTTGCGGCTTGTTGGATCATGTTTTTGGCCTTACTATTAATAGCTTCATCCTGATCATTCTGAAAGCAAAGCTTTTACTGCTGTTGTTTCCCAAATGTGTGAGCAGTACACACACACACAGCAGATCGAGTCACTTTGAGGGAAGAAACTTTTGGATCCTGCGTCTACTGATGCAAAACTACCACTTTATGCATCTCAAATTTTGGCTTGTTTTTTGGGGGGATTCAACTACAAATACTAATTAAAATTATTTCTTTGCTAAGTTGCCTGTCACGTGCAGATGCAAAACTGGTTCATATATTGAGCTAAGTTGCTGTTTTATGCATGAATGATCGATAGGTCTGTGTAAGTGGCTCAAAAAAAAACATTCCTCTGAAAATGCTCAGCTACAAGGACTGACTGGAAAATTAGAGAAAATGAAGACAACACCCAAAGGGAAAAAAACACGAGAACTATTGCTCACGACCACTTTAAAAACCTAAAAGAAAATCTGGCTGCTTGGAGGCAAAATATGAAGAGATGAGGGGTTCCTCAAAGCATCTGCACAGTACTGCATATCATATAATTAATGGCACATATTGTAAATGAATAAGTACACTCACTTTTTCTTCAGGTTCTCAAAAGCCATTGTTTTGCACTATAAGCGATTTATTCTGATACAGTGAGATATAAAGTAGTGCTGATGTCAACACAATGAAAAGGTGCTTCTGCCACACAAGTGACTAAATAACAAGCAGGAAATGGCAGCAGTATTATCTTATATTACCATGATTCATATACAAAGTGTTTGACAAAAAAACTCACAGCTGTAGTTCCTATAGGAGGGTCCAGGCACGGCAGCAGACGGAGGGGACTCTGGAACATAGGTACTTGATGACACCTTCTGTGGAGATGAAGTCTTACCTAAAAGAGGAACAAACATCATGAGGGGCTTCCAGAGGCTGTTTACTACAGTTTCTTACCTTCATCCATGCACACTTTAAAAGTACTATACCATCTGTATTATAAGGAGTGGGATTTCCAATCTTCCCCCCAGTTTCCTTTGCTGACTTTAATATATCCATGTCCATAACAACAACCACACGCCTGGAACAAAAAAAGGAACAAAGTGAAAATTATACCAAATGGGAAAACATGAGTAAACAAAAGAAGAAAGGAAATAAAGAGTCAACACATACCTGCCATCAGCCAAAGTGTTGTTGGTGGTCTTTTTCAACAAACACACACAGTTTGGTACCAGGAGGTTCTCTTCAGATAAATAGTTTAACTGGGTAGCAAGCAGGCAAGCTAGACACAAAAATACACAGAAATTTTCATATATAATTTCTAGAAAAAGAAATATCACAGTTTAACTGGCTATATCTCAGTATTTAAGACCTCCACATTATCTTTGACTTTTATTTCTGGTGTCACTTCCAAATTTAAAAGTTGTTGTACTACTGGAGGACACTCACAAGTCAGAGAGTGCTGGCCATCACTCATCATAAGTCGGAACCTGGGTGGGCTTGAGGCATTACTGATCTGACGGATGTTCTGACAAACAGAGAGGGAAGGAAAGATGTCAAAATCAAAACAACAAAAGGTCCCAAGATATATTAATAGAAATCATTAAACCGCTCTGTTTACACATGACAGCAAAGAAGCAATAAAATCAATTATAACAAGCAGGCATTTATTTACGCAGCCCTTTCCCTCGAACATCTCCACAGAGATAGCAGATGAGTCAGGACCTAAGGGTTCCGCTGCCTCATCTGTAAGCTCTGAGCGGTAAAGAAGGGAAATGTTTAACTAGCTAGCCTAGCTGAGAAGTTATCAAACGTTCTAATCACAAAACAGGTACAGTGGACACCTGTGTTTGATGTGTGTTTGTTTAACACACAAGTACAAGCATAACACAGACTAATGAAAAAAAAGGCATTTTGTCTGCATGTGCTGACTGTGCTGTTTTAGTGAGTAGGAGATGTGAGAGGAGGAGAGAACAGGAGAGAGCAGAGGACAGATGAGATGCTAAACGATCTGCTGTAGAGGTGAGGAAGAGGAAATTATCACATGAGACAGAGGTAACACTCTTTGCCTCAGCTCAAAATGAGCCCGTCATACAATGAAATCAGAAGATGAGATGCAAGCTCATTCATTTTACAAATTTAACAAAGAATTGAAAAAATACAGAGCGTAACAAAAAGAATCATCTGATTTTTAAAGGTTATCTTTTATAAAGTAATGAAAATAGAAGCTTGCAGTAACTAAAAAAAACATGGCTGTACATAAAATTTTACATACAAAACTTTCACTGTTGACAATGTGTCCCCCTCTATATGTAACATGTCCATACAACATATTCCTTGCCGAGTTAAACTTGTCTCATACTTTTGTGAGCATGTCTGTAGTCACTGCTACCTACCAGCAACCACATGAAACTCACAAATCTCCTCTTTCTAACAGTATGTGGCTGTGGAATTAAAGCACTTTGAAATCAGATGGTTCTTGTTGATACATCGTGTACAATCTCTATTATGTCTCCATCTGCAATGGCAAAGGTGTTTCACAATGACATCACTGGATCATTCCATCTCCAAACACAGTGAGCCTTCTGCTTGACTATGTCATTTTTGCATAAAGACTAACAACAAATGTTTGCATTGAAAAGACCACTAGTGACAATTTCTGAATGATATATAGTTGTATTTAAACATAATGCAAAATAAAACACGTAGAATACTTAACATGAAACCTTTACTCACAAAATTGAAAAAGGAAATGCTGTCTTTATTCTGTGCTTGTGCTTGAATGTTAAGTCAAGTTGCACTGCAAAAAGAAAAATATAAGTAGTCTAAAACTAGACCTAAATTCTTTAGTTTCCAGATGGTATTGTAATTATAACTCATATATACTCACATATACTCTGTACTTATGCTATAATAGAGGCTTCTATGCATATCATGTAATCTGAAATACAAGTGGGTTTCCACAGAGCCACTCACCAGCAGCTGCAGCACGGGCTTGTCCACATCTAAGCCTTTGCACAGGGCCTAGACATCAATAATAACACACATAGTCGTCGTTAGTTACAACTGCCTGTTTGTCCTCATTACATATTACAGTGTTGCTAAGGCAAAGTTACAGTGTAACAACCATTGGACAAACTGCCATCTATTCTGTTTCTCATGTGGATGGTGACAAACACTTCCTCTAGACGTCAAATATTATCGAAAAACTGTCGAGAGGTAAAATATCATTATAGCCCAAAAATAGATTGTTCTGTTGACCCAGCCTGATTGTTTTTGCTCTTCATCACAAATATTGCTCTTAGAGCTTTTTTTTAATCAACCGGTAACAAAGTTTATTTTTAACTGATCTGGTAATGCTACAGCTGATGAACCATTAGGACCAAAGGTAAACATTAGCGCACAGTGCTAGCAGCCTGAAGTTACACCACACCACAATCAAGCTTGAGACACGGAGTCAAAGAGAAAACAGCAGCTCAGTCAGTTTAAGGTTTATGCTTACTTCAACCGCCCCTTTTGTAAGAGGTACGTTCATGTCTCTCGTGTGAAGCTTATCTCAAAGCTTGCAGAGTTTAGCTTTTCTGGTACGTAGCTCCAAAAAAAGCCATGACACTTATCGCGATAGGAGAGAGGCAAACGACACTTTGCCGAGACGTTAAAAGACCGGAAATGTCACATTTACGCCTTCAAAATAAACGATATGCTAGGCTACTGCACGACATTGACTATTTTGCCGATTTGTTACATTATATTAATTTGATAGTTTCAGTCTGTAGCTACTGCACTGGTCTAAAAACTAAACATACTACATACATACTACATTATTTGTATTTATACAACAAACAGATTCAACAAAGCTGTGACCACTACTATGTGTGTATTTGTATAATAGCCAAAAATGAATAAAACAAAACTGCAAAGGCGAGGGGCAACAAAACTGAATAACACCAAAGGTAATCCAACTTGTATGGAGAGTTGTGTTACTACTTTTAAACACATGTTTCCAAAACTTACTTATTTAAATTCTGCCCTCACACAGAATTACTACAAATATCAAAATATTGAATATTGTTTCATATGGCAAATCAGATTCCGGTGCAAAATGTGAAAAGCGCCTTGAAAATAGTCACGAAAAGCAATTTTATAACCTCTAAAATGAAACCTAGCTTCAGAATTGTTTTTGGATACTACCGAAAAATATTGTTTTACGACAATGTGATTAGTTTGAATTGTGTCATTAACCTAATAAGGAGAATATTTTTCTATTTTCACATACAGGATGGTCTTTGAACAGCCACGGGTTTGCAGTTTTGATTTTATTGTGAAAGATATTGCCGGGAACTGTAGTTTGGTCCACTCTAACGTGACAGCTGTGCTGAGAGCGCTGAGAGCTCATGTGAAACTGATTCAAAACAAACCCAAACTACTCTCCGGTCCCGCGGTCCTGTCAGCAGGGTGACGCGGTTCTGTTGTAATCCATAATGGATCTGCCGTGCGTCCAGTGGCAAGATCACGTGGCACAGAAGTGGCGCGCTCTCGAGCCCAAACTAAAGGAACAGTTTACGTCCCTGCTTGAAATAGATGACGTTTTCAGATGTGGTCTAAGTCTCGTGAGGTAAGCACCCAGTTCAGCTCATGTAGTACCAATGTATTTAAGACTACGAACCTATTTTATTAACCTTACACTGACTGGTAGTTCTGAGGCAGCTGCAACAGCTTGGACCACTTGAACTGGACTTTAGTCCAGGAAAAGCTTTTGAACAGTGCTCTGCACCTATTTTGTGTTTCTGTGTATTATTAAAGGGTTCTTTTTGTTTTTGCAGACAAGATGATCTGGACTTCTTGCAGCAAGAATCTGCAGTATATTCAGTACAGAAGGATGCAGAGCTAGCAGCCAAATGCAGGGTGAGGGGAAACTCCAGCTTCAAGACTAAAAACTACACTGCAGCTGCTCTGCACTATTCAAAGGTAAATTTGAAACAATATTATATCTTACTCTGGGACTGTAGGCACCCTAGATACTTTAATTAAGTTAAAAAAAATCCTTTCTTTTAGCAGGAAGAAACATCCGGCAGAACCAAGCTCAGTAAGAGAGTGGCTATATGCTGCAATGGGTTGGGGTGATTGGGGGGAAGACAGGACAAAAGACACACTGTGGAATAAAGCCAGAGATTAATAATAAGCAATGATTAAATGCAGAGTGGTGTGTAAACACTGAGACAGTGAAACAATGTGAAATACTAGCTCTGATGTAAGTTAAGTAAGAAATACTACACTGGTGACTATCGCTGTTACATCTGAGGTGTATCTGGATTTTATTTTGACTCTAAAAGTGTAAGCATGCCTTTGATATTAAGCACCTTAAACATGAAAACACTGCCCACCATAAACCCCTACCTCGACTGTCTCCTGTTATTACAGGGCATCTGTTTTGCTCCCAGTACTTCGGAGCAGCTGTCTCTGTGCTACGCCAACCGCTCTGCTACGCTCTACCATCTGCAGCACTACCAGGTGAGGCTGTGCCACCTTCACCATTAAAACCAGCTGTGCTCAGTGGTTGGCTAGTGTTGTCATGGTGTGAGCTACAATTGCCTGTAGGAAGCTTGCACAGAAAAACGTGCTGGTTCAAATCCTCATGCAAATGGTTGATGATCTGCACACAAGACTGCATAAGTGTTCTTTTTTTTAACAACGCTGAAGACTTTCTTGCTGTGGCCAACAGGAAAGATACTCATGTTCCTCACATCACACCCGTTTCCATCACAGAAGCTTTACCTGGAACCATTTATAAGTCACTGTACCTCTGCGGGTGCTTTGCAACCAGGAGCTCATCTTCTATAATGATTTTTTTTGATTCATTAAATAAAAAAATATCGGGCATTATAATATTTTTTAATATCCTATTTCTCAAACTTGTGCAAGGCACTAGGATTAAGTCAAAACTGTACAGGGCATTCATTTATCCTACTTACTTTTGAAGCTGTTATAAAATACCTTTGACTGCTAATTCCACACTGTTCTCCCCTCACAAGTCAGGTAAGAGTTTTGAAGCACCAGCTGAGTCCACAGTAACAACCCTGCTCTCCATTACTTGATGTATAATAAGCCTGTATGGTTAGGAAGTGTCTGTGGGAGGACATTAATCTACCAAAAAACAGGAATAAAAAGATTTTTAAAAAGTTCAACTGAGCGAAGTTAAAAAGCAGTAATTCCTGCAGTTTCTCATGTTTAAGCCTAACATGTCAAATAAGTTATTATCAGTTATTACATTTTTAACACCTTCAAATGGGAAGCGTGAATTAGATATTCTAGTTTATGAAGTTGTGCATGTTTAGCAAAATCTTGATAACTGTCTAAACCTAACCCCATCTGGTTTGGCTTTAACTCTTTTCTCTAATAAAGATGACATTTAACAACCTCCCCGGTATCCGTAATGAGGAGTTTTGACACCTCTGTATATGTCAATAAAGACGTGGTTTGGCGACTATTAGAATAGTTTTCAGGTTTTTCCAAGGGTAGCTCTATAAGCAGAGACCACCCTCACTAATATCTGATGCAAACAGTCATTTTGTTCTATAAGCAGACCTGACATATGAGAGGAACCACTCAGTTCAGAAAGGGTCCTCCTAATGGATTAAGAAAGAGTTAAAACAAAACTAGTTAATTATCCTAACCATAATCACTGGGATTATAGGTCTAAACCCGCTGTGGTTTTTAACGTTTGTGCCATGAGTCAACAGTAAACCTATCCAACAAGGAAAGAATGCACTACTGCATATTTCATTCATCCAAGGTTCAGATCGCAAAACAAAATGAACTCTTTTGCTTTTTTTCTTTAACTTCTCTTCTTGGAATCATAGCAGATTCTTTTTCTTCTCCTTCCTCTGCTTCTACTCCTCCTTCCTTTAGGGGTTGCTGCAGCAGATCATCTGTCTCCATCTCAGCCTTTCCCTGACATCCTTTTTCTATCACACCAACCCTCTAAACATCCTTCTTCAGTGCATGTCCATGAATCTTCTCTGTGGTCTTCCACCTTTTTCCTTCTGCGTGCACCATCTTAAACATCCTTAATCCAGTATATGTACACTATCTCTCCAATATATACTCAGTCCCTTGACTAAACAAAGTATTTTTGAATCACATTGACTGTCAATCTCGGGTTTAAGTGTGTGGTACAAACTCTCAACATCAGACTTAAAGCAAATCCTAATCACAACCACCACACCAACTCAAATGCTGTCCTCACACTAAAATTCTCTCAAATTCATGTTGGCCTAAATCTAAACTGCTCTTTTCCGAGTCCTCTACATAGACAACAGTTTGATGAGAATAGAGAGCTGTGAATGATGTGTGTGTCAGTGCATTGACTAGACCAGGGGTGCCCAATCCCAGTCCTCGAGAGCTACCGTCCTGCAGCTTTTAGATGCATCCTTCTTCTGACACACCTGAATCAACTGAATGGCTTGTTATCAGGCCTTTGCCAAACTTGATGGCATGCTGAAGAGGTAATCAAACCATTTGATTCAGCTGTGTTGGAGTAGGGATGCATCTAAAAGCTGCAGGATAGTAGATCTCGAGGACTGGGATTGGGCACCCCTGGACTAGACCTTCTTTGACCCCCCTAATTCAGCTGCCTATTCGACAGACAGTGCACAGACCATCATTATGATAGCTAGGCTACCTAACCATAGCCAGAGCTGTAACTGGCAGAATCATACTTCATATGTAAAACCTTGCAACAGCTTAGCAGGCGTGTGAAATGGGTCAGAATGATAAAAGTGCTTATTTGTGTACAATCTGTATGTAGCATTCACAGCACTGCTTACTGTCCTTAAAAATGCCTCCAGTATTCCTTTTCTCAGTCTTCTTATGACAGGTTTCTAAGCCTTACCCCTCCGGTTCAGTGCAGAATTCATGAGTTAGTAAAAAGTCTGTCATCTCTATGTTTTGCTCACAGTCTTTGATTTTGTGATTGTTTACGCTCCAGCTTTTCTGTTTTCCTCAGGAATGCCTTGATGACATTGACAGAGCCGTGAAGAATGGCTATCCCTCTCATCTTTTACACAAACTGGAGGACCGCCGCACTCTGTGCTTTAAACATCTCTCTGTACATGAAAAGAGAAGGGAGGATGATCAAAACCCTGCCTCAAACGATTGTAAAGGTTCAGACACAGCAAATTCACCATCTGTTGGGCCTCTCACAGTTGGGATTTGTCCTCAAGTTGTTGTTGACTCCACTGTGGAGAAAGGTCGACACCTGGTGGCTGTAAATAGAATAGCAGCCGGGGAGGTGATTCTCACTGACAGGCCGTACAGCTGTGTCCTCCTACCAGGAATGGAGGAGGTGAAAGGGAAGGTGGGACGGTATGGCAGAGAGAGAGAAGTGTTGTTTGGAGTGGAGGACAGGCGTTGCCATAGGTGTTTGACTGAAACGCTGATTCTTGTACCATGTGACAGGTGTAGCTACAGCCGATACTGTTCAACTGGTTGTCAGCAGGAAGCCTGGGAAGAACATCATCGCTGGGAGTGTGCGCTGGGAGCAGATCTGATGGCGATGGGCGTTATGTCACAGCTCGCCCTGAGGTTAGCTCTCAAGGCAGGGTTAAAAAACTTTCTACTAGCAAGGGAGCCAATCAGAGACAAGCACAAAGAGTGTTTTAATAATCACTCGAGTGATCCTTCTACGTCATCCTATGGGGGCTCTTACCTGAATGTGTATAACTTGCTGCACCACCTGAATCACCACAGCCCTGCTCTGCGTTTCATGTGTGCGGTCACCGCAGCAACACTCTACCTGAAGCTCAGCAAGGCAGGACCACCACCTGTATCATGGAGCCATACCCCACAGGGACCAAACAAGGAGGGAGGAGACGCTGATTGGAATGCAGAGCTATGGATGCTGGGAAGTGCAGTTCTACAGCACATCCTACAGCTGAGGTGTAACGCCCAGGCAATAGTCGTGCTGCAAGACACAGGTGACTGCAGGTGCAAAATGTGTTGTTAAGTTGGCTCAGATTGAGTGTAGTTAGAATAAACAGCTGCAGCTGCGTGTCACAGGCAGAAAAATGAGAAAGAAAATCGTGTTCCCTCTTTGATGAAATTGATGGATGACACAACTAAAAACGATTCCACTGGCATAAAAGTCTTTTTTAGCTGCTTCAGGTGTGACAACACAGCAGACGCTTTCAGAGGAAGATTTACAGTGCGCTCACTTTGCTTCTTTTTCTAACTCAGTGGAACGAAAACAGTAATAAAAAATGTGGGTGAGAATGAAGTTAAAGAGGAACTCAATTTAAACATGCTTGGATGATGGGACATGTTTACACTGCTTGTTGGGTCAAAAATTCAGTTTCAGGTTATCATAGAAGACCACAGAGGTTTACTTTTAGGATGTCACAACCAGAAAATTTAGGAGATTTTTGCTTCAAAAGGATTTTAAGGATATATAAAACTTTTCTTATTGATTTTTGCAACTGTGAATACTCTGTAGTGTCGACTACGCACGAGGTCCCTTTTTCTAATTGCATTTTGTTTTGGCTTTTTGCATCACACAGGAGCAACAAACTCACCGGTGCAGTCCAACAGGGAAATTCGCATTGCTACTGCAGTATTCCCGACTCTTAGTCTTCTCAATCACTCTTGCTGCCCCAACACCAGCCTGGTGTTCAGCACTGGAGGCATTATTGAGCCTTCTGGTTCAGCTCTGTCTGCAGACTTCAGTGGGGGTGAAGCTGAATGGAGGCACAAGGCGCAGGGAGTCACTGTAACAGTCAGAGCAGCCAAGCTCATCACTCCTGGACAAGAGATCCTGCACTGCTATGGTATGATGTACGATGGAACATTTAGATAGATTAGAATCAATATGGTATCATAACCTTGTGTATAAAAGCAATTTTTCACCATTCATTTTATTTTCCCTTCAGGTCCTCATAGCAGCAGGATGGTGACCCAGGAACGCCGTTGTCTTCTGCAAGAGCAGTACTACTTCCTGTGTCAGTGTGAGGCCTGTAGCCAACAGCAGCAGGACGTGGAGGAGCCCAGACAGCAGGAGCCAGGCGCTGAGGGCAGAGATCTTGGACTCCTGTGCATCAAGTGCAAAGGATCTCTCAAAGTATGAGATCATTATTGACTTTTTTCAGGATTAATGGGGGGCACAGTGTTGCAATTGAAAACATGCTGGTTAGTTAATTATTAATTCTACTTCTCGACGTACGTTTAAATGTCAGATTGTGTGGTTGTGTGTCTCTCGGTGTTAGCCCTGTGATGGACTGGCAACCTGTCTAGGGTGCACCCCTTCTTTCATCCTATGAAAGCTTGAATAGACTCCAGCCCCCTCTGTGACCCTAAATTCAATAAGTGCAGTGGTTTGCCTCACAGCTCACAGGGGTTTGAATCCACTTGCCGACTGGAGGCTTTTTGTGTGGCATGTCCTTGTGGATCTTCTCTGGGCACTCTGAACTGCTCCCACAGTCCAAAACATGTACGGGGCTATATTGATTTGTGATGTTAAATTGACCATAGGTGTGAATGTGAGTGTGAATTGTTGTCTATTTCTCCCCTGTGACCAAAGGACGACTTGTCTGGCGTATGCCAAGCCTCTCGCCCTGTGACTGCTGATATCCAGCCCTCCATGAGCCTGAATTAGATACGATGGGGGGGGAAAATGAAAGAATTTTAAAGGAAACCGATCCGTCCATTCTTCTGGCCATTTGCCCAATGTCTGTTGACATTTCCATGTTAATCATTTAAAAATACTGTAAATACTTTTCAGAAAAGGAGTGAGGACAGAGAAGCCGGATTTGTATGTTCACGCTCATCCTGCAGTCATTGTATGTCCTTATCTGACGTGAACAACAGTCTGCAGGAGATCAGGGTTAACCTGGAGAAGGCTGTGGAACTCATGGAGACAGACAGGCCAGGTGCTTGTAAAAAAATAAAAAATAAACATCCAAATCTAATCAAATATAGAAATACATCACTGTCATGTGATTCTTCTCTTCTACCCTCCCCCAGGTGAGGCCCTAAGACTTCTAAAAAAGACTCTGTGCCAATCTGGTCTCATCCTTGCAGAGACACACCCACTACAGGGGGAGCTAGCTGATGCCACAGCCAGAGCTTATGCTTCTCTGGGTACGCATAATAATGATGTGGAGTATTTGCATATGAGCTGTGTGGTTAATGGTGTTTGTGTTTTTAACACCCTGAGGAGTTAAAAAAAAAACCTCCAAAAAGCATCTGTGCATAATCTTTGCAGTCTTCTTACTGCTTTGTTTGTGTTCTGCTGTTTCTGTAGGTGACTGGAATAGTGCAGCATCCCATCTGGAGCGAAGCGCTGTAGCCATTGCCTCCCAGTTTGGAAAAGAAAGCGTCGAACTGGGTCGACAACTCTTCAAATTAGCACAGCTACACTTCAATGGGTGAGAAAAGTTGTGCAGAGAGTGGGCAGAAAAAAATTTCAGGTTGCGTTCCTTCTTTTTTTAGTGTCTAGTGCTAAATGTGCAGTCACACTGCAGCTGTCAGAGTAATTGCCTAAACTTAGAATACTTGGTTTAATAAGACGACAAACTGTACCTGAGCCAAGTGCCTAAAGCTTCACAGTCTCATAACTTCTACTACGTTCTGTTTTTGACTCTCTTTATTTGTAGAAATAACAACCTTTGCGTCATTTTCCTCTCCTTCTCCCAGTGGTTCCCGAGGGGCAGCTCTCTCCGTCATCCCCAAGGTCAGGCGACTTCTCTGCCTTCACTGCGGTCCACACTGCCATGAATTACAGGAGCTGAAGGCCATGGAGGACTGCTTACAAGGGTAGTTTTCAAAAAAAGCAAACTATAATTAGTTTTGTACTTTGTGAAGCTCATTAAAATATGAGAAATTTCATGATTGCAGGCCTTGTTTGTTTTGTGTCTTTAAAAAGCTGTTACATTGCAGGTAACATATAGTCTTTTTATAAGTTCTTATTTTTACAAGAAGAAATTATATTATAGCACTGTAGTGCTGTGCATACCCTCAGCTATGCTATAAATATAGGTAACCGTCTGACCTTTAGATGGCAGCAATTGTCCAGTGACTAATTCAATTTCATGCTTGAATGACTGGACAGTAAGATGTAGCTTCTACTCCTGAACCTACAGTACATGGCCCATGTCCTCCAAGACCTTCAGCTTAAAAGTCTTTATAGGACCATTAAGGCGTGATGTTCAGGTGTTGGAGCATTTTTCCTCTTTCAGTCAATCAATTAAAAGCCTTGCATGTAAGTGATGAAGTACAAAGACTAGTGTACCACAACAGCGAAGAAATAAGGGTTCAGGTCACAGTAAGCTCTGATGTAAAGGTTCATTAGCTTTTAAAAAGGAGCGGAAGCTCATGTTGGGCAAAGACAATAAAATCATGATCACAGCTGGAAGTCCCGAGGCATGTGCCAGTTAAAACCTCACAAGTGTCTGGAGGGCAGCCAATCTGACAGATGTGAAGATGTGCGTACAAGTCAAGGTCAAGACAAAACTTTGGTGAGGCAGCTGGTGAAAGAAGCTGGGGAGCAGTGACTCCTCAGTGAACTCAGAATGGTCCATGGGGCAGATTCCTGCTCATGATTGTGGGAACAAGGTTGAAAGTTAAGTCTGAATAACGTCTTCATTCAGGTCAACTTTTAATTCTCTCTAAAAACTGTAGAAAACTGAGACTGTAGATGAAATTCTTTTCAACATCTATTAATGTACTGATTAAAAAAAATCAGATCTGTATTCTATAACACATTAGAAAGTGGTTAGAAATTTCTTATCACAATATTCCAGAATGAAAAATGTCCATCAGGATATCACAGAGCACAAAGTAACATTAACAATATTGAGCTGTCCAAATCCACTAGATGTTTAATTTACTGGAAAGTAAACCAAAAAGTCTGACAACCATCAGAAACGTCAGTGACTAAAGCGTGTGACTTCCTGAAAGGAGCCGAAAGATTCACTCTACTTATTAAATTCAAATATACTGGTCAACAGAAAATCAGTGATGTCTGCAAAATCAATTTTGATGGCTTTCCTTATTTTTTTTTGTTATAAATGATGTCACACAGCAGCCAATCTGAAAGATGTTATACAACAGAAGTCTAGACTGCCTGGCCTTAATGAGTGAATGAACTATTAAAGCACATCTATACAGTGCCCTTATGTGAACCAAAATTTCAGAAGCGGGACCACGTCTCCAAACATGCTCCTTCCGGTTCTTATCTATATATGTTCCCCCAGTTCTACAAGCTGTTCATTCTGGTTTACATGCCCCACCCACCTTCCCCTTTCCAATTCTTTAACTTCTTCACTTCAATTTAGTACATGGGAATCTGCTAGGCCTGGGAGCCGCCGCCAGTCCCTTTGGAGGCCTTCCCCAAACCGCAGCTTAATTCATGTCATTCATTATCTACTAAAATGCTGTCAAACCTAAATTGAGGACGTGGGCCCAGCTAGCATGAACTAAAATCTAATTGAGATGCTTTGGCATGACCTTAAATCTGCAAAAAAAGACTTTTGACATTACTGTGTGGGTGTTATGCCAGTCACATCTATACATCTATCCACATCTATACTAAGCAGTCAAAAACATTTGGTGATGTATGTTCTATAAGAAGAAACCTTTTGACAAAATAATCATGAGAGTTTTCAGATCTTTAGTCATGCTAAATTTCAGTGTTTAGCCAATCAAGCGGCAAATATTTTAATCGCTTGTTTTTAAATGAAATTAATTTAGTATTCTCACTCTTTGGTCAAATGTCTCGAAAAACATGTCTCTTTGTATGTTTTGTCCTCTTATAAGCTAATGTAAACTGAGATATTGTTAAAAGGCAAATATGCAAGTGATTGTAGCTTTAACACAGCTTATAGGCTTTAGAAAAGAAGCTGATGGAGTGCATAATAGGAGATTTACACTAATGCAGCTTGAAATCCCCTACATCAGAGATAACAGAGTTTTCATAATAATCCTACATATAATTCAGCTATGCATCTTGAATAGTAAAATCTTTGTTACCCAAAGAAAGACGTATCAAAAGAGCCAAATTTGTCTTATTTGTAACTAATCATCAAATACCTCAGGTCCCCATTGTTGCATCTGTGTTTACATTTCCAAATGGGAAATTCTTCGAATTTGTTTGCTTCTTCTTCTGCATTTGTAAGATAAGTTGTGTGTACATCACTCTCAATAGGAGCTGAGAGAGACATGCAAGCCCATGTCCAAAACAAATCACACGAGCTAGGTAAATATTTTTGAGGTAGGGGGTGAAAAGGAGCACAAGAAAGACAAACACAATCAGCATGAAAAGGTCTGCAGATGTCTGCCGGCTGTTGCAGTATCAGATAGTGGATTTGTTATTTTCACTGTGCAGTGCCATTTGAGCCCATTTCCACAGGCAGCGATCTTATCAGATGTTTTCCTACATAATGCAATCAAAAATGGACAGACCACAGACAAAAAGCTGTGGTGTGCTGTGCATATTCGGTGATATCTCTAACAGTCTGACAGAGCCACTACCAGCTGAGACGCCTGACTCATCTCTCCAAATTACAACCATGCAGCTTTACAGTTGTAGGCAGAGGTTTACATACACTCACATGTAGATCAACCACTCTTCTTGAAAGAATAAAGTGGTTGGTTTCCTGGCATGGACCTGGCTATTAAGCATAATCCACAAATTTTCAGTACAGTTGATGTCAGGGCTTTGGGAAAACCATTTCATAAGTTTAATGCTAGACTGATTTATTCATTCCAAAACCAGTTTTGATTAACATGTTTGTGATCATTTCCTGTTTGAACACTCAACTCTGTACCTGTTTTAACTGTCTAGCTGTTCAGTTGAGATTAATTTGAAGAGATTGTAATCCTCCTCCTTCATTGTTCCATCTACTTTGAGCAATGTAGTAGTACCACTGACAGTAAAACAGACCCAGAACATGATGCTACCACCACCACCGTGCTTGACAGCTGGTACCGTGTTTTTAGGTTTGAAATCGTCACCTTTACGCTTCTAAACATACATCTTGGCATTAGGGCAGATAGCTCAATCTTTGTCCTGCTGGACCATAAAACTTGTCTCTGGAAGGAATTGGCTTTTCTATGTTCACCGCTGCAAATGTCTGCGAGCTTGAAGGTGTTGATTTTGCAGCAAAAGGTATTTTTTTTGTCTGTACCCTCTCAGTCCATGGCGATGTAAAACTCTCTTCAGTGTGGACAGTGACACTGGTGTTCCAGCAGTTTCCAGTTTATGACAGACTTGAACTCTGGTAGTTCCTGGGTTGTTTTTTAACATCCGTATAAATTTCCTCTTATCTGAGGGTTGCTGTTTGATCTAATGATCTTGGAATCTGCAGTTGTTAATAAATGCCTCTAAGAGACTTTTTAAGAGATCTGTCTCTTTCTCCTGTCAGGTTTACTGTTTTCCCCCTCATAAAATCCAGCAATTGGTATGATCACAAGCCAGACAGCAAGCTAATGCAACTGCCCAAGCATACAAAGAGCACAATAGACTGGGACAATGCTCAAAATCATAGGAGCAGGAGTATTTCAGCAGTTTTATATATTCCATAAATTATCATAAAAAGAGTATGTAATAGTCCAAAACCATTGGAGCACTGTGGTGATTTGAATTACAGTGTGGGAAAGCAGAAGCACCAAAAACAAAAATCACATGCAGGCCCACGAGTGAACTTGACGCTTCATTCTCAGCTTCAGTCTCTGGGGTTCTTTTTTCAGACATTACGTAGCCTCCCCTGAACCGTAGCAAATGCTCTAATTTGAGTTTGCAGTGTTTACCCGTCCAAAAGCAGGGCCGATGCCCAATAAAATCCCATTAATCCAGCCAATGTCAGCCTATCCCCACAGACACCGGATGAGAGGTGGGGCACTTTCTGGATAGATAGGCATTCCATTACAGAGTCAGTACTTAAATACTTTTGAGTTGGTTTGAAGTTTGTGATCATTATGGATGTGAATAATCCAATCAACCCCCCTTCCCACTTATTCATCAGCCTTCAGTTTTAACCTGCTGATGCTGGCCCCTTTGGAGAGCCTGATGTTCAAACTGTCACATCCTGACACGAGCACTCACTCTGAAACTCCGAACCTCTCCAGTGTCTCTGTCTGCCTTTAAGCTGGTTTGTTCCTTCAGTCTTCAATGCTCCATCTATCATCCTCTCTCTACAGCAGAGGACATTTGAATCATGATGCAGATGATGGTAATTTGGCTCGGCTCATGTAAAAATAAAATTTCCATCACTCTCTCAAGGTTATTATCAACTAATATGAAAATTGCTGACAGTAAATCATAGTCTCGATCAAGAATGAATGTTAAGTACAATGATGATGCATTGGAACCAGTTCTGTTGGGCCAAAAATAGAAACATTCATTAGTTATTGCTTGTTTTGCAGGCTACCATCTCAGCATCCAAATCATTGTTAGATGTAGAGAGAGAGCGATAGCGAGCGCTTGTGGGCTGAATAAGAATCACGAGCTGTGGATAGAGGAGAGGCTAAATTTGGCACATGTGCATTAGAGGTGTTCACACTACAGGACAAGGTGAAGGTGAGCTTAGCCAGCAGACCCACCGGCAATCGCTCTCCCAAACAGCCTGTTCACCTTGCCGGAACTCAGTCACACACTTATGAGTAAGCAGCTCGACACATACAAAGTTAGGTTTTGATTGACACTTCAATCTGCAGGCTGTATGACTCTGGGGATGTCAGTGTTGGTCTGTAAATGAACTGCTTTGGTCCTGCTTAGGATCACCATTATTAAACTGTTATCATAATATCATTGCTCCAAGCACAGCCTCACAGAGCTGCACACATGGATGAAGACTCTTGTCACTGCTTCATATTTTCAACATTTCTGGAAGTA